AGAAGGATGTCTGCCAAGTTTTTATGAAAATCAGTCCAGACTTCTATATAGCTCCCACTTATATATAGCTCCCACTTATAGTTTCGTCCGATTTCATGTAAATGGTGCCCCAAAGTCCCTATATATCTTTCGATTTGCACGAAATTTGGTACAGCCTAATCATTTAGGTCTAGAATGATGTCTGCAAAGTTTCGTGAAAATCGGTCCAGATTTAGATAGATTGATGTCTGCGTTGTTTTGTGAAAATCGGTCCACATTTAGATATAGCTCCCTTTTATTAGGTTTTTATATTTGTTTGAAGTCATTTACATACTTTATGGATAGATCTACTCAGTATACCTATGGTGGAGGGTATCCAAAGTTCGGCCCAAACGAACATAACGCTTTTTTCTGCTTAGTCTGGTAGTAGTCAATACCTTTCAACTTATTTTTTTCCATGTGTTGGTGTTCTGTGGGGAAAAACACCTTGGTATATGTCTGAGAACCATCGTAACTGCACCTTATGGTGGATGTTAAAAATCGCCTAACTTATTAGGTTAAGTATCGCATAACTAATTGTATCGAAACTCGTATAACTTTAGCTTGACCTAAATATATTTAAACTGGAATAACTGTACACAAGATCGACGCGACTGGAAATTTTTTCTTTTCATTTTTTCGGCTTATGGAAGAAGTAAAAGTACCATAAGGTACCGTGTATATTAAATTAGGGATAAGTAAATCGACTTTCGACTAATCGACTTTTTGTATTGAAAAGTCTAAAAGTCGAAGTAGACTTTTGACCTTCGAGAAAATCGCAAAGTCGACTTTTCAAGATCGACTTTCGATTTTCTTTAAAAATTCTTGATTTATTATCTCAAAGCCGAAATTGTCCAAAAATTACACGTTCCCGAACTTATTCCATGTGTTGACAACGATTCTTATAAAAAAATTAAATTTTTAGTCGATTTTGCTTTAGTTGGTAAAAGTCGAAAATCGATTTTGAACAGGTTTGACAAAATCGAAAGATCGAAAAGTCGACTTTTTAGTCAAAGGCAAAAATCGAAAAGTCGACTTTTTGGCCAGAGGCAAAAATCGAAAAGTCTAAAAGTCGACTTTTACGCTCGACTTCGTATCCCTATATTAAATTTGTGATTCCGAAATATTCACCGGAGATCCCATACAGTGTATATATTAGTTATCTGTTGAATTCACGATAGAGATCGCAATATTTGAAATAGAGCGTTGACAATTTACACTGGCATTGTTATTACTCCTAGGATGGTTGGTATTGCAAATGGGATATATCGATCCATGTATTGGTATGATTCGGATTTTTCAACCGGTATTTTAGGGGTTCTTGAGCGCATTTTTCAACCGAATTCGCTGTAATTTGGTATTTTGTAGTAGCATATTGTAACAAATCTCCCTACCAAAAATTAATAATATTCGTCCCTTTTAGGGGTAGTTCTCATATAACCGCCTTTTTATACCCTTCATAAAATCCTGAAAAGAGAAATATCTTATTATGGACGATTTGTTGTCTGTGGAGGAAAGAATTTCATCCGAAAATGTCCCCCCGGATAAAGGTGCAGATAGCAGAAAATCTAGGAGAATCAATACGAAGTTGTCATCCAAATTTTGCTCGGTGGAATCATTGAGCTCTTCCGAAGTTTCCCAAAACAATGCGAAGGCGAAAGATTTGAGCACCAAATCACGGTACAAACCCAAAGCAAATGATGAAAGGACATTTTGTAGCGATGCAATCCAAAATGAATATCTTCCCGTAAATGCACTAGATAAGGTTAGTACAATAGATTCTGTTGCCGATCTTACGATCGAAAGTGGTCAATCTCAAACCAAACGTCCCCGAATTTGTGAGTCATCTGACATAGCCCTAAAAGTGACACAGAATTCCCAAAATCGATTCGCATTATTGAATGATATTGTCATACTTCTTGAACCATCTATCCCAAGAGCACAGCCGTGAAATCAATGTCAATGATCAAAATGAGTCTATTAGTAGAAATGAAAAATCACTCAATTCTATAAATAATCTAAAGGGGTTTTGCCATAACAGATTTGATACGAACACTTAAATCGAAGAACATCGTTATTAAATATTGTAAACAAGAGCCCAAGAAAAACCAGAAAGGACTGGGACTGGGCCGACTATATGATACCCTTCATCAATTTGATACCCTTCATCTGAACCGATTTCAGGAAAAGTTGCCAGAGACTAATTTATATTACATCAGTACGTTGTGTAAATCGGCCTAGGTATGGATCTTTTCACGAAGCTTAGCAACATCATTCTAGACTTAATTCAGTACTCTATCGTACACATCGTTCTAGACTTGATTCAGTATGCTATACCAAATTTTGTGCGAATTGAAACATATATAGGTACTTTGGTGCAACATTTACATTAAATCGGACGAACCTATATATGGGAGCTATATCTAAATCTGAACCGATTTTCAGGAAACTTAACACACATCATTCTAGACCTAATTAATTACGTTGTGCCAAATTTCGTGCAGATCGAAAGATATTTAGGGACTTTGGCGCACCATTTACCTTAAACCGGACGAAAATAAATATGGGAGATCTATCTAAATCTGAGCCGATTTCCAGGAAACTTAACACACATCATTCTAGACATAATGCATTACGTTTTGCCAAATTTCGTGCAAGTCGAAAGATATGTAGGGACATTGGTACACCATTTACCTTAAATCGGACGAAAATATATATGGAAGCTATATGAACCGATTTTCACGAGACTTTGCACACATCATTCTAGACCTAATTCATTACGCTGTACCAAATTTCGTGCAAATTGAAAGATATATAGGGACCGTTTATATTAAATCGGACGAAAATATATATGGGAGCTATATCTAAATCTGAACCGATTTTTCTCAATTTCAAAAAGGTTCGTCCTTAGGCCAAATAAATTACCTATGCCAAATTTCATCCAATTCGGATTATAAATGCGACCTGTACTTTGTTTATAATTTAACATCGACAGACAGACAGACAGAATGTGATTCTATGCATATTCTCAAAAGGAACCATGTGTCTATTTCGTTTCCTTTTGCCTGTTACAAACATATGCACAAAGACATAATACCCTGTACCACAGAGTTGTGAAGGGTATAAAAAGCTTACTGCTAAAGCGTTTGAGAATAACGCATATTTTCCTGATAAATGGAAAACTTCCAAAATCGTCCCGGTTATGAAAAAGTCCCAAAGTCCCTATATTTCTTTCGACTTGCACGAAATTTGGTACAGCGTAATGAATTAGGTCTACAATGATGTGTGTTAAGTTTCCTGAAAATCGGTTCAGATTTAGATATAGCTCACATATTTATTTTCGTCCGATTTAAGGTAAATGGTGTACCAAAGTCCCTATATATCATTCGATTTCCACGAAATTATGCACAGCGTAATGAATTAGGTCTAGAATATATTTTTTCGTCTGATTGTACGTAAATGGTTCATCGAGTAGCCTTCGTCTATTCGATATACACGAGATAAAATTTTGGATGGCGCTTTGTGCTTTTGTTGCTCAATTAGGTCCAGATTTACATTTGTACATAATTTTACAAATGGTACACCAAAGAATCCAAGTCTCCCCGATTGGCATGGACTTGTTCATAGATTTCAGAATGGTATGTATATGGGGTTTTGTAATAGGTTCAAATATCTATGTAGATCACACATTTCATTTCTCCCGATTCCATTTCAAATGTCCTCTAAAGATGATATAGCGTCTCTTGTCTCAAAAGTCGGATGGGGCCGACTATATCCCCATCTGACTTTTGAACTTTTCTTACTGGTTTACTTATGGTGACCATTAAAAAAATTTCAATATTAAAAAAAAAATAATTTTTAAAATTATTTTTATTAATCGACAAAAATAATTTTATTAATCAAGATAGTGAGGTGCTGGTGCTGGGGGAAGGTAAGTTGTCTGGGGTTGTTCAACATGAACATAGCGAGTTACAGGTGCTGGGGGAAGGTAAGTTGTCTGGGGTTGTTCAACATGAACATAGCGAGTTACAGGTGCTGGGGGATATATTTGGGGTTCTCCAACACGAACATAAGAAGTAACTGGAGCTGGAGGAAGATAGGTCCTCTTGAGTTGTTCAACAATCAGGGGAGTTACTGGTGCTGGTTGAACCTGAATTAGTGATTGGGGTGGTTGAATCTGGGGTTGGGGTGCTGGTTGAATCTGAATTAGTGATTGGGGAATATTGATCTGGGGTCGGGGTGCTGGTTGAATCTGAATTAGTGATTGGGGAATATTGATCTGGGGTTGTTCAACATGAACATGACGGGTAACTGGAGGAAGGTAGGTATTCCTGATTTGTTGAATAACCTGGCGAGTTACTGGTGCTGGTGGAGGATCCACAATTAAGTGAGGAACCACTGGAGCTGGATTGGGCTTGGGATAGTTGTAACCCAATTCCGAGACATCAGCATAGGCGCATGCCACAAAAGCCAAGGCGACCAGAACGAATTTCTATGAGGAAGGATACAAGTATTCAATTATTAATGCTTTCTTTTTCGATTTTAAGACCTTACCATTTTTCTGCAACCTTTGTTTTTACTCGGCAAAGAGTTTTAAGTCTTTGATGCTTAATCTTTATTGACAGTGGCTATTTATTTCAATTTGTGACACATTTTCCTTAACTCTGTTCAGATAGAAAACATTTCAGCCAATTTTGAATGAACTTAGAACAAGTTTCTGAAAGCGGTCATTTGGGTTCTATTTTGCATAACTTTTGGTTTTTCAGTTTTTATTTGTAATTTTTCCAACTAAAACAAAGCTTTTATGTGTTTTTTATTTGTATTCTATGGTAATTTAGCCTTTTTTATTGTTTTGCTCTCCCTTCGATCCATAACCAGTTTTTGGGCATTTGTTGGGCGTTTTTTTTTTTGTTGGTGTGAAAGTCAAGCAGGTATTTTATGATCATGCTAAGGGAATAAAAATGCTAACAATGGGTATTCGTATTCTAAACAGATATTTAAAAAAATGTTGTAGTTGTTTTGATTTTGTTATTCGATACCATTAATGTTCAAATTTAAACATAATTTCAAAAATTCCATCGTCTATTATTCTATTTCAAATTTTACTAATTTTTGCAGAAACCACATTTTCTGTTGAAATTTGATTTTTTTTTTTTTTGAAATTCGACATGAGGTAAGTTAAAAACAAGAATGAAATGTTATTTTGAATAAAACACTGATATTCAGAATAAATTAGATTACGAAATAGAATACGAAGTCAGCGTTGAGTATATAAGCAACTCAGCTTAGATGGTAGTCTGGTTTATGAATATCGATAGTCGATCAATGAACTCCAACATATTTTTTCCCCCTGTATTGTTATTGGGGGTACCATTAAATGGTAAAATCGGACGAATATTTATATATTTATATATTTAGGAGCTATATCTAAATCTCGACCGATTTTCACGAACTTAGCACGGGTCATTTAAGGATCAATTCAATACGCTATGCCAAATTTCGTGCAAATCGAAGGATATATAGGGACTCTGGTGCACTATTTACATAAAATCGGACGAATCTATAAATGGGAGCTGCATAACTTCCGTCAATGCCACCAAACAAATTCGTACATCCTTTTGTTTACAAAAAAATATATTCAATACCATTTCATCTACTAAGGTATTGTGCGTAATATTTCTTTTGATTGTCTTTATTTTGTAATTCTCATGGGTTACATTTTTGAAATGAAATTAAAATATGAAAATCACAGCTCATCCTCGGTTCGGTGTGCATCATTACACGGTATCATTGAGTGAATACCAAATAGCAACAAGGGGAAGTGGAGGAAGAAGCGAGGAAGTGGAGAAGGGGGAACTTCTCCACTTCCACGCACTTTTCATTCAACTTGTATTTGTAATTGTGTTTCATTTTTGGTTTGTTTACCAACCTGGTAAGGTAATTCCAAGTATAAATCCCATAATAAAAATTCAAGTCATTGAAAACCAGAAAAGAAAACACAACTGAAAAGCCGCGAAATACGCAGAATATGGACCAACAGACAGACAGACAAACAATGAGAACAATACAATGGAGAGAAAAAGAAAACAAACAAAAAAACTTTTTAATAAACATAAAAAAATCGAAATCTCATTTGGAAATCTTTTTTCTCGGTTATTCCATGATTACCACCAGTTTACATTTACCCTAAAATTATATGAAAATTATTTTCAAACAGATTAAAACAAAATAAGTTTTGTTATTACATTTAACGTGGTTTTGTAATGAGAGACACGTTTCAATGAGTGTGGTGATCAAATTATCAAAGTCTGTTGACATTGACGCTTTCACACCTATTGTAGGCCGTGGAATAAATTCTTTAAAAAATCCACGCCTATAGTAGGCTGGGGAATAAATTCTTTAAAAAATCCACGCCTATAGTAGGCTGGGGAATAAATTCTTTAAAAAATCCACGCCTATTGTAGGCTGGGGAATAAATTCTTTAAAAAATCCACGCCTATTGTAGGCTGTGGAATAAATTTTTTATAAATCCACGCCTATTGTAGGATAAATATCCTGAATACAGACTGAAAATTCCTACCTTGTGTCAATTTACTTTTATAAAAAAAAACCAGTAAGGAAAGTAGTAAAGTCGGACGGGGCCGACTATATGACACCCTTCACCACTATGGATATATTAAACAGGACTATTAACATGAAATTGGATGAAATAAAATATGTGATATTTATCTAAATGTGAATCTACCTATATATCCATAAGTTATATAAATCGACTTCAATCAAATATAAATAGGTTATCTGTTGGGCTATGTCTGTACTTCTAGAAAACGCAACTACGTAATTCTATGCTCAATTTTGTAAGTTGTGCAAAATTTGATGTCAACCTGACTAGCATGAAGAGTTTGATGTCCAATTTACTTAAAATCGGGCGAAAATATATATGGAAGCTCTATCCAAATATATCGAAGGATATATAGGGACTTTGGTGCACCATTTACATGAAATCGGACGAAACTATATCTGAATCTGGGCCGATTTTCTCGAACTGGGCAGACATCATTCTAGGCTCAATTCAGTACGTTATGCCAAATTTCCTGCAAATCGAAAGATATATAGGGACTTTGGGGCACCATTAACATGAAATCGGACGAAACTATATATGGGAGCTATATCTACATCTGGACCGATTTTCGCGAAACTGGGCAGACATCTTTCTAGCCTCAATTCAGTACGTTATGCCAAATTTCATGCAAATCGAAAGATATATAAGGACTTTGGTACACCATTTACCTTAAATCGGAGGAAGATATATACGGGAGCTATAACTAAATCTGAACCGATTTTCACGAAACTTTGCACACATCATTCTAGACTTAATTCAGTGCGCTATGCCAAATTTCGTGCAAATCGAAAGATATATAGGGACTTTGGTACGCCATTTACCAAAAATCGGCCGAAACTATATATGGGAGCTATATCTAAATCTGAACCGATTTTCACGAAACTTGGCACACATCTTTCGTGGCTCAATTCAGTACGCTATGCCAAATTTCGTGCAAATCGAAAGATTTTCAGGGTCTAAAGTCCGTAAATCGGGCGAAACTATATATGGGAGCTATGTATAAATCTGAACCGATTTTCACGAAACTTGGCACACATCTTTCGTGGCTCAATTCAGTACGCTATGCCAAATTTCGTGCAAATCGAAAGATTTTCAGGGTCTAAAGTCCGTAAAACGGGCAAAAATATATATGGGAGCTATATCTAAATCTGAACCGATTTTTCCCAATTTCAATAGGGTTCGTCCTTGGACCAAACAAATGAGCTGTGCCAAATTTCATCCAAATCGGATCATAAATGCGACCTGTACTTTGTTTACAATTTAACATGGACAGACGGACAGACGGACGGACGGACATGCATAAATCGATTCAGAAAGTGATTCTATGCATATTCTCAAAAGGAACCATGGGTCTATCTCGATTATTTTTGCCTGTTACAAACATATGCACAAAGACATAATACCCTGTACCACAGTGTGGTGAAGGGTATAACCAGTAAGGAAAGTAGTAAAGTCGGATGGGGCCGACTATATTATACCCTTCACCACTTGGGGTATATTCAACAGCTGAATCCTAACAGACGTTGAAGGACCATATACATGAAAATGGATCCATAAACATGCCATTCTGCAACTTATACTAAGTGTTTCATTTGGTCAGATATAGAGTTGCTATAGATATAGTATGTATATATATATATATATATAAATATAGGGACTTTGGTACACCATTTACATGGAATCGGACGAAATTTTATATGGGAGCTATATCTAAATCTGGACCGATTTTCAGGAAACTTAACACACATCATTCTCGACCTAATTCATTATGCTATGCCAAAGTTCGTGCAAATCGAAAGATATATGGGGCCTTTGGTACACCATTTTCATTAAATCGGACGAAAATATATATGGGAGCTATATCTAAATCCGGACCGATTTTCAGGAAACTTAACACACATCTTTCTAGACATAATTCAAATTTCGTGCAAATCGAAAGATGGTGGTGCACCATTTACCTTAAATCGGACGAAACTGTATATGGGAGCTATATCTAAATCTGAACCGATTTTCTTGGCACACACGATTCTGGAAGTAATTTAGTGCGCTGTGCCAAATTTCGTGCAAATCGAAACATATATAGGGACTTTGGTGCCCCATTTACCTTAAATTGGACCAAAATATATATGGGAGCTATATCTAAATCTGAACCGATTTTTCCCAAATTAAATAGGGTTCGTCCTTAGGCCAAATAAGTGAGCTGTGCTAAATTTCATCCAAATCGGATAATAAATGCAACCTGTACTTTGTTTACAATTTAACATGGACAGACAAACAGACGGACATACATGCATAAATCGACTTAAAAAGTGATTCTATGCATATTCTCAAAAGGAACCATGTTTCTATCAAGTTTCCTCTTGCCTGTTACAAACATATCCAAAAAGACATAATACCCTGTACCACAGTGTGGTGAAGGGTATAAAAATGAATAACCTAGCCTTGAATCTGCCCTCAACTTCCTCACATTTATTTTTAAATAAAAAATTATATAATTTCTTTTAAATTTACTCACCAAATTTCCCAGAAAAAATTAATCCCTACCACAAAGTCTTTAACCAAATATCGTGCTACAAGGAAGTTTAATTGTTTGCTTTGGTGGTCACTTTAGGTTAAGCCATTGTGTTGACATGGAGAAAATTGGTATTTATTTTTTGTACTTCCCTCCATTCCGAAGTAAATAAGATTTTGAATAAAATATGAACATTTGTCGGTGGCAGATCAATTCATGTGCCAACATAGATTTCGAACTGTCGATGTGCGTTTTTCCTGTGCATTTTAATAATGTTGTCTTGGCCAGAAAATTCCACTCATTCGACCACTCACCCCCCACCACCTCCTGATGAACCACAACCATTATTAACATCTTG